CGTTATTATTACAATAAGGGTTTGAGACCAGACGAGAAAAGATGGACTGCTGACTCTTTTGTAGTAAACAAACCCTCCGTCAGCTTAGACAGGGAGTAACCGATTGGTCAATTCCACAGCTGCTGACAGATAATTGACTGGTCTGTGGTGAGATTGCAAGCAATGAAAATAGTCACGCGTCACAATCAACTGCAAACAATAGCGAACCAAGCAGTAATCTCAGTAATAAAACTTTTAAGGATAACTTACAGGAGGAAACTGCTGTAAATTTCCTAAAGGGAAACGAATTCAAGGCAATCTTACCGGATTTAAAGAAAGTGTAATTTTTTCAGTTGGTTATGTTCTAGTTATAAATCATTTCAAGTTACTCGCGTTTAATTGATTAATTATTATATTACCTTGACAGCTTTGTTGTCCCCAGACAAAACAAAAGAGTCAGCAGTCTCTTATTTTTTTTCTTCTCGGGCTTACGCCCTCGTTTCTCGCGGTTCGCGGCTTTCCTGCTCACGTGCCTAGGTTTCGCGTGCAGCAACTTTGCAAAGAAAAATAAGAGACTGCTCGCAGTCTATTCAACTAATCTGACTCTTGCTACACGGTCGTCCGATTTTGTTAATCACTTGTATGATTACAGACTGAATTGAACTCCACTCAGTGCTGTTACCATTATTAATAATGATATGTCAAAAAAGCAGTCTCGGGCTGTACATGTGAGAGAGTTTATCTCGATGCAGTTTAGCAGCTATTTTCTGTGACCAAAGATACGTCTGTGAATTAAGGCCCTAAGTAAAATCTCAAGTTACTTTACTTTGCATCTCATTTAAGCTGGAAAGCTGAAACGATTCAAGAAAAGTTTTAATGACTTGAAATCAACTTAAATCCTTAAAATCAACTTAGCAAACTTGTTGTTTCTTGAGCTTTGAGAAAGGAGAAACATGTCAATCAATCTTACATGTACTTTTATAAAATAAGTAAGATAGTACGGGCGCTCTGATTGGCCGAGAGGAGTGTTTGCATGAGAGTATGTAAACATGGTTGTGGCATCAAGATGTTTTGCTTTTCGCGCGCTTATCACGCAGGCATGAATTTGAAAAAGTTTTCGAGTTCAAAACAAGTTTACTTTATTTACCAATTCCTATGTCGGCTGAAACTTGGAAAATCGTTACAAAGAAGATGTGTCAATTTTTTGCGCATAAGCTGACAGTTTAAGCAAGAAAAATCCGTATTGTGAATAGCATCTTTTTTCAAAACAAGAACTGATTACGCATGCAAGACGTCGTGTTCAAGACTTTGCGACTGGTAAGAATTTCTCTTTTAATCAGTGCCGTAACAAAGAGATTTGCGTTTTTTCTCGGGAAAGTTATTTTATAAAAGCAATAGAAAACTTTTTTCCTCTGTTTTCATAGCCTGATATAAACACTTGAGGGGTTGGGAGAATTCTCGACAGTCATGCAAACCCTCGACTTCATCTCACGTTTGCATAACTGTCTCGAATTCTCCCAACCCCTCTCCTGTTTATATCAGGCTATGCAAACACAGAAAACGTTTTCTATTGCTTAAATGTTGCATGGAAAAATAGCCTTAAGGTAACCGAAGTAAAACAGAAACAGTGGTGTGTGAAGCTTTATCTTACTTGAAGTATTTACAATTTACTTGTCTTGAAATATTAATTCTTAGCTTATTTAGGTGTAAAGGCCACTTTCTTGCCCTGTCAAAAATGTGCCAGCAACCAGCAGTTCAAAATTTGCAACCTACTCAACATTTAGGCTAAATAATGAAAAAAATAACCACACAAATTAAGAAATTATTTCTTAAGCCACCTGCTACTCTAGTTACAGCTGTACCCTGCCTATAAGTACTGACTGGGCTGTTATTGTTGACAGTATGTTCTTTATATGAAGGTGATATTCAAGTTATTGCTGATGTTGCTGGAGATAATGATAGGAGAAATGTGAACCCTACCAATATTGGACCTGATGCAGTGACAAATACAGGTAAAACTTAGCAGTACGATGAATTGAGCATTCATCCAGGATTATAATCATGAGTTCATTGCCTTATGGTCGTGAATATAGAGAATACTTCATGGAAAGTACAGGCGTACGGTATTTATGCACGATTTGTTGACATTTCAGAAATTGAACGAGTGAGCGCAGAGATTTTTGATACAAAAACAACGAGTGCGTAAATACTGTACAGGTTACTGGGTATAATAAAATTAAAAGGAAGGGAATTCAACTGCTTGGAAGTTCTTTTGGTTCTTAATTTGCTTTTATCATTATTTCTACAAATTTGATGGGGTAAGTGGTTATAATGTAATTCTTTTGTAGAACTGTAAAGTGAAAAGAATTTTCCTGTTATCGTGGCTAAATTTTGTACTTGGACATGCAGGAAAAAATTACCTCCAAACTGTAAGAAAGGTTCTCTTTTTGTGCAAAATCATTTTGTTAATGAAAGGTGTACATGAAAATAATGAAATGCAAAGGTGTGGGTGTGTAAAACCACATATATTTCAGTCGCCCTTTGTTTACCTACACGTGTATTCTAAGCAGTATCATGAAAGCATTGCATAAGCGACCTTTTTATCGTAACATAGTTCTAGTATGTCTGCAAGTGGAAAAAAAGTAGTGATAATATGGATTCCACTGATGAAGGGACAGGGCCGATGAAACAATTGGAAAAGAACTCAAACTACAACACAGCACTTTAATTGTTCATATTTTTCATTGAACATTCCCTTACTAAAAAAATTGTATTGATATATATACATATACAATTTTGAAACCATAAACATTGTTTCACTGGAATGTATGTTGTAGTTAATTTTTTTTTTATCTTAGGTAATTTTTTGTTTGTCTGTTGTATTTGGGTATGGTAATAAATGCTAATGGGGTTGAAACAAAGAAAAAATAGAAATTACCTGAAATAAAAAATTTGCTACAACTTATATATCAATATAACAATTTGTAAATCAGTAGGAAGATTGTTTCACTGATGCTAGAAGTAAGCTGAACATAAAATAAAGCATTATTGCATCGTTTGACCACGTTTGTATTAATATTGTTGACAGTAAAATGTATGCTCTTTATATGAAGGAGATACTGAAGTTATTGCTCATGTTGCTGAAGATAATGATAGGAGAAATGTGAACCCTATGAACATTGGACCTGATGCAGTGATGAGTACAGGTAAAGTGTAGTATTTTAAAGATACACAGTTTCCTTGCCATTGGTAGGGGGTAAATTACCTTTATACCCAGCCATGAATACAGTGAATTGCCTTTTACCGTGGAGAAACGGGTAGGCTACCCAGTGGAAGGTTCATAATAATATCACTTCTGGGAAATTGTAGTCACCTTCAGGCAAACGTCTTCATCCACCCATACCCGTACAAAGAAATGGTGTATCTTAAGGTCGCTATCATCCGGTAAGGATACAATCATGAGTTCATTGCTTCATATAATGGTAGCATTAGAGGTACCAACCCTTGGCTTCTCTAAAATCCGAAGTTAAATAAAGTTATCTATGTATGTAAAGGATGACAACAAAGTGACTCTCTTTTCAGGAAAGTTGAGGAAAATACAAAGAAATCAATTAAAATATGCAATGAATCAAAGATAAGCAAAACTTACGGATTATATTAATGCATTTCTTAAGAAACTTAATACAGTTTTTAATGCACTCAGCTGTCAGCTTTGCGAAACAATACTACAAAGCATGTAAAATAAGCCATTTCTGTGTAACTTTCAGGATGGAAAATTGAGAGAAAAAAGTGCAATGGGCCATCAAAGCAATAAATTGATCGAGTCATACAGTACGCAACCGACTATAACAGTTTGAGTCTTCGATTGTCAGGCAATTTATAACAGTTTACAACTTGTTCTTACACCTGGGCCTGGGCCTTAGTTCTTCTACCTTTTCTTTCTATGACCTCCTCAGCTTCCACCATCCACAGCAGCAAAGCCAGCTTTTGTCGGTTTTGCCAACAGTCCACTAAAGTAAATCCTTCAACTGCTTCAGGGCCCAATTGTTAGAAGGGCGATTGGCACTTTACCCAGGTTTAAAATTTAGCCAGGCTTCTTTTTCTCTTGTTCAAAAGCATTTTTCCGGATAATTTTCTGTTATTTTGAAGAGCATGCAATCCTCAACTTGTTGACAAAAAGAACTAAACTAAATTCACTTTAAGCTTTCATATCTTTGTTTTTCTTTCTTTCCCAACATGTTAGAGATGTAAAAAATTAATCAGATGATTATAAAATAGAAAACACCTTTCTGGCTTGCTGCTATATCTGTCAATAACGGCTTGTAGCTGAGAGATTGTCCAAAAAATAAAGATTTGCTCAATAAGTGAAGCTTCAAAGGCAAATGTGAAATTTTGATGACAATTCACAAATGGCATCAAGTCGGTAGAAAGTAGAAGCCAAAAAATTTTTCTTACCATATTCGCCCAATTTCAGGCATAAACATAAAACATGTAACAATTGAAATTTTTTCAATTTTAACAGTTTTTCTATAAAATCTCCACCTTTGTGTAAAAAAGTCTCTTTCGAACTCTGCAGTTTGGCATGTGTCTCTTTTTACAAGTTTGATTAAACTTCTTGTACAGAATAGATAAACTTATCCTTATCATATCCTTATCCTTTATCCTTCCTACTTATCGAATTATCGAATGTGACATTGTCCCATGGCAATGTGACTGTTCTTCTTGCAGTAGGAATATAATCATTACCTCAACATGATTTTCATAAATCTCTTGCTTCATGAACATTGGAATTTGATTGCAATTATGGGCTGTCCACATGTACAGGAAAACATTGTGCCTATAAGCGTCTTTTCGTTCTCTTAACCCTCTTTAACTTCACTTGGAAACTTTCCCTTAATGCTCATTTTTCAGAAGACAAGAAGAAAAATGTAAACAGTAAATTTTTTGATTAATTTTGAAGCCTTGTATGTTCGCTTAACTTCATTAAAGCCTGTACACTGGCTAAGGTAACATTATATGTAATGATTTCTATAGGAGAAGAGTTGGAAAGAGAGAATCCTCTGTTGGAAAATAGCCAGCTTTCCCCCGCAATTAACTTGATGGAAACACAGCAACCTATCCCAGACGATATTGTCAGAAACGATGAAGAAGACCTCCAGTTACTTGCAAGAGCGAGGGTAGTTGGTGTGCAGTATGAGTTTGCACAGCATGGTGCATCAGAAACTGAAGAGGACAAGAGGAGGAGAAGGCGGCGAAATCAAAGGAGAGTATCTCATGAGGAAGGAAGGCTGCGTGAAGTTGTCGGAGATTTACCACCACCTCCTCTAGCAGGATCAAGTCAGGTTGAGGATAATGCCTATAGCGCTATACGTGCATTTGAAGTGGAGCAAATGACCTACACATTCAGTTGTTGCGAGGTCTGCAAGGAACGACGTCTGGAATGCAAGGGCACAAGAAACATGTGTACTCGCTGCAGACGAGATAAGAAGATACCAAAGGTTTGGTCAGAAGAGAACAACATGGACCCAATGTCTGTCCCGGAGATTCTGTCTGGAATGTCAGATGCTGAGCAGATGCTGATAGCAAGGTTAGCACCTACTGTCCATGTGCATATGTTAAAGCATGGAGGGATTGCTTCAAAGGGA